ACCACGACACTCCTCTCTCCCTTCTCTCTCCCTCCATTCTCCTTTTCCTTCTCCATCTCCCTCCTCCACTTTCACCAACTGCCACCACATCGTCCCTGTCCCTCTCTCTCCCTCTCTCAAGTTACACCACGTTCTCTCGATGCCTGGCTGGCTCGCCGCTTCTGCCGCGTTGGCTGCCGCTTGCCAAGTTGCCTGCCGGCGGACCAAGTCGTCCCTAACACTACAAAGTCTATATATCCACGGTGTACCCAACGTCCCCTCCTCCCCTCCGCCTTTCCTCCTCTCACTCTCCTTTTCAACCCACCCGTTTGAGAGGTACGCGGACCCCCATATTGATCGTGGCGCGAACCCTCTTTGCCGGAAAGGCTGGTGCCGGCGGTACGATCCCTACGGGGCTAGGTGTAAGTAAACTTACGTGAACGAACATTGGTCCGCTCGTGTACACTCCCTTCAATACGTGTGTACTCCAATACACCGCTCCCTTTTCGCTTGCGCCGATATCGTAGGCAAAAGTGAGAAACGAGGGGATGGGGAGAAGAAGAAGCTCTCTCCTCCTCCTTGTGAGAGGAGCCATCGAGTGCTTTCGGTATTTCAACGGCGAGAAGGAAAACGATGCGTTCGCGCCACGGGGGGGTAGATAAGGGTGTTGAATACACCGGCGGCGAATCGAACGTATTGTTCCGGCGGGGAAAAAGCGGGGTCCTACGATACGTGTCTGATAAAGGAAAACACGCGTGATAAAATATAAATAAGCGAAGGTGTTGGAGCAACATGCGAGATCGAGGCTATTCCGCTGAAAGATAAAATAACTGAACTTGGCTTTCCCAAGGATGGAGAGAGGGAGGGAGAGGGCAAAAGTCGAGATATATAAAAATTCTACGACACGTCGAAACTTTGGTAACGACGATTCATACGTGGGCTTCCCTTTATCCCCGGGCTAACCATCTTCGTTCCTACGTAAATCCAAGATCTTCGAGATTTCTCGCATTTTTATGATAATGCCTCGCCTCTCTCTCTATCTCTCTCTGTATCTTCTTTTTCGTGTTTTGCTATTTTTCTTTCGAGGAATCGTTTCTTGGAAATATCGAAGTCCTCTCTCTCTCTCTCTCCTCCCTTCATCCCGTATGTTTTCTTTCACGAGTCGATTTATTCGGAAAAAGGAAGAGTATAAATATATATATATATATATATACGTACTGCCGGTTTCGACGAGGCTTTCCTTTCCAGGAACACGACAGTTGTAACCAGAACCGATTCTCGTGGCTGCTGGCCGGATAAATAGTGACTGGCCATTACCAGGTAACGAGGAGACGGCACACCGGTATTCTCGTTTTGCCCCCGCGAGAGTGGAAACGGATCCCGCCTCAGCTCCTCTCGTTCCAGAAAAGTCGAGCGAGATATCCACATAATACGGCTCCTCGGGGGATTCCTTCTGTTTGAGAAGTCGTTCCACGATGACCGTGTTTTCTTGCATCTTTCCGAGGAATTCGCCCCCCTCCAGCTTTTTTTATCGCGTGAACCGACGACCACTGGCCAGTCTTGATCTCTTGTCCAACTATCTTTCTTTTAATATCTTTGAAATTCGTGTTGTTCACTTGTCAAAATTTTGATCTCTGTCTCGTCACGTAACACACCTGTAACTTCGAGTAATAAAAATTCGCTTGATTCTCTAATTAAGATTTACGAAAATCTATTATTATTATCGTTTCTCCTAATTTTATTACATACATTCTTCTCTTCACTTAATAACTTAACATAATCTTTGACATCTTTCAATTGGATAATAAAAAGGAAATGATCGATTGTGAAAGAGAACAGACGATAAATTACAAAAGTTAGAAAGCTTCGAAGCTTAGCATCAGAATAATAATAATAATAATAATAATAATAATAATCCTTCGAACCTAATTTCATTTCCCTTCGCATCATCTCTCCTACCCGTATAATTACCCGCAAATTCCTGGAGAAGAGGACAACACCGATGGCGGTCCCTAAATCACGTGGCGTATAGTAGTCTCACCACTATTTCATTTCCTTTCGCAGCCTCGACGCACGAGGTCCTCGAGAAAGGGGGATGATAACGGGGGAAGCTCGGGGGTAATGGACCGAGGCGAGGAGGAGGTGGCAGTGGATGAGAGGCGAAGGGTAATTGAGAAGAGGAGATTTACTTCAGGGTTGAGAGAGGGTAGTTTACGGGTTGGGGGACAGGGAAGTTATCGGGGACAGGAAAAAGGCTCACGGCCGCTTCACGTGGGAGAGAGGGAGGAGAAGTGAGGAGGGGGGAAGAGATACGTCGACCGTGTCGACGACAAAACTGTCGCTCGTAAAACTTCCTCCCGATAATATCTTCCACGCCTTTCGGGACCTTTTTCGGTTATCTGTCTATTGGTCGTATTGAGAGCTCCGTTTTCGAGTGACGACTCCGTTTTCGGGGTGGCATTGACGCGCGCCACCCTCTCTCACACGGTCTCTATTCCATGGAAAGGAGAAGATGGCCGAGAATTAATAGTATATATGGAGCGATATAGAAGAATGAAATTTATTTAAATCGTACACTCTGTTCCATTCCGTTTATCGCGAAAATGAGGTTGAAAAAGAAGGGATTGGAGAGTTAAGAAATTATTTCAACGATTGTTTTGATAATTGTAATATCGTTTGAACGTAACGATATATAGATATAAACAGGAGGATTCCGTTTAACAGATGTTATGTTATTGATAGAACTATAACTACAGTTTCTCGTCGTCGTTATTGTTGAACAATAATTAACAAATTTCTCATAATTCAATGTTATTATTACAACGATTCGCTGTATTGTTTTCTATCGCGTATAATAAATACACAATTTCAATCATTCATTAAGGTTCTGATTTCCACTTTTAACATTGTCCACCCTCGAATCCACGTCAAAATGGTTGATTAAAATTTAATTGATACTCGATTAATCAATTAACCCCGAATTATTCTCCGTAAAAAAGAAAACAAATATCCGAAGATTTATTGGCCATCGAGATGGTATATCGAGCCTCTCATTTATAAATTTATTATTAATCGGAAATTTCGCAACGTTCCTTTTTCCTTCTTCCTTTCTTTTTTGGACTTATCCCATCTCTCTAAGCGAATGGAGAAATCTTTATCGCCTAAATTTTTATCGCTCTCGACCGAGTCCACGATTTCTCGCCATTATTATTTGCTCTTCCATCTCTTTTCCACAAAAGCAAAAAGAAACAGGAGATTGGTCGGATGGGGCGCGGTAATTCAATTGCTCCTCCGTTGGTACATCGACGGGCAAATATTTTATTTAATCATGAGACACTGTTTAAACGGTTCGACGTTTCGTGATTCGTTTTTCGTCGTCCGCCCGAAACGAAGAATCTCTCTCGTATTGGAAAGCTTGGACGGGATTGATGAGATCGCATTAACCGAGAGCGGGTTGTATACAATCCTGGAACGACTTTTCCCATATAGATAGATCTCGTCGTCGCTCGTTTTACGGCTTTTTCCCGTCTTTTCCACTCCTCCGTGAACGAGCATCCAGGCTTGAATATTCCAACGCGACTTACGTATTACGACTGTCGTATCTTTCGTGTCGTGTCGTGTTGTAACGTTTGCGTATAACGTTTATGTATACCTGATAACCGATTGATGATACGGAAAAAAATTGTTTGGCACGAAGCGAGACGGCAGATGGAAAATATTTACTTTTGGCTATTTGGCTACGCGGATCGATCTTCTCTCCGTTATATTTATTTATATAAATATTCGAATGGAAACGTGTAAGCGGCGTTCGTGACATGGCGAACGGACGAATGTATCTGATGCCGATTATTTAAAACTTTAATCCAATCCTTAGAAAATTGTGCCTAGATTATTGAAGTTGTAAAATTGATGGCCACGGTCATGAGAGGATCATTTAGATCGTGGCATTGCTTCGGTCAATGTTATTCGAAGATTACACGAGGCCATCGAGATCGTGACATTAACAGTTAAGGTCGCTTAAATGATGGGGGTCATCGAGATCACGTTGAATGCCACTTGAGGTCATTTAAAGATCTTGGGGAAGGGGGGAGGGCGATGATCTAACACGTGTCTTCGATTCGTGATCAATACGAGTTCGTTTCGTTTTAAATTATCAAATATGTGTAATATTCATAGATCGTCACAAATTCGAGTAAAAAGAATTTTTCTTAAATTCAAAAGATTAGGAAATAAAAGGAGAAAATCAACGCTTCTCGAGATATCTAACGAAATATTCTTGACACGTTTTTGATTGATCCTTTTGATCAAAAGAAACTTTCCAAAATTTATAAATAGATTTAACACTGCACTTCAGGCCTATTTTGCTCGAACCAGCAACTCCAGACTCAGATCGGTGTGTAAGATTATCATCTAATTACTCATAAGATAAGATTACATCTCATAAGATTATATATAAAGAGCTTAGGAATCTATTTATAAAGCGATATTCTAAAAAAATCAAACATAAATAAATATTGTCGCCGCTGGAGTTAACTCACCGTTGGAGAGCAAAGGGTTAAAAAAGAAACATTTACATTCGTTTCAAATTGATAAAATAGAATTAAGAAAGAACTAAACGTAAATATAATATAATATTCTCGTTTCTTTCGTTCTTTCAACCATGATTCCTCTCGTTACAGAGAAGTTCGATATCACCCGCGGAACGCGAGAAGTATAGCAGGCCGCGATCGACCGACCCCCAACACCACGACCACCTTCCACTCAAGAAGATGAAGAAAGAACAGGATAAGGATATAGGCCATGTAGGTATCCAGGATGGTTCTCCATGCCCCGCCGCCGATGGTATACCTTTAATAAAGCCGTGCACGTTTTCCCCGATAGCAAAGCGATGGTGAAAAGAGCGACCAGGACTTGGTGGTTGATGACGCCAGCGAGGGGCCGACGAGCCCTACGGCGAATGGCACAGCGTCGCCAAGAGAAAATGGGCTTGACAAACTCGGCCCTTCCTCGGTGCCTTTGAGCAGCCAAGTGAAGAAAGAAGTCCCGCCACCATCGCCGAGAAGCGGCACGAGCAGTAACGCGAGCACACCCTCGGCTAAGAAGATGGAAGAACGAGAAAAACCGACTACGCCTATCTCGAAACCCGTCACGCCCACATCAGCTGGTATGTTGTCGCCCCTCTTTTCCTTATTTATCCTCGAGTTTGCAATATATATATTCGAAGCGAAAAGAAAAAAAAATATTCAATCAGTATAAATATCCTTGAAACATTGTTCCATTCGTTCGTGTATTATAACTTGCTCATTTTAAATGAGCAACTTTAACAGGACTAACGGTGTGAGAATTTATTCTCATATTGTTAATGAGAAACAGAAATCTTACGGCTTTTTCAATATTATCACGTCAAATATTAGACAGCAATTAGTGATATTACTTACTTACTTACTTGCTTGCTTCGCTTATATTAAAAAATTCAGAAGGTAAACGTTCTGGTGGGATGGATTTCGTTCTCCTTTGCATAGAGCGCCTCGGTGTGTATGTATGCGCGTGCGCGCGCAATAACACATTTCCGTATCAATTACGATGATGGAAAATACTTGGGCAAGTATCTGAGGATGAATGTATGGTCGACAGGTGGTAGCAGCTCCGGGTCCGGTGGTCTGAAACCATCGAGTTCCAGCAAACCACTGGTCTCGGCTTCGGCGGTCGGCCCTTATCCGCCACACTATCCGCCGCCACATCATCCACCCGCAGGACCTCATGTGGACGTGCTGGGTTATCCCCCAGCCCTGAATGGATATCCCACAAGACCGCCTCTTCAGCAGCTCTACGATCCTCACGGAAGCATGAGGGCTCCTCTCGGACCTCTCGGTGTACCCGGTGGCAAACCGTAAGCGCTTTTCTCGGCAATCCCTTCCTTTCGTGCATTCGCACGTTGATTCCCAATACCGAACGTAAGAGAGGTAATTCGATAAAGTAAGAGAAAATATTTTCGAAAATTGATTCGACCTTAAATGGATCATCGAATTATCTTGAGTGAAGAGAGTTTTAAAAGTAAATATAATCTTTCAAACCCTCTGCTTCCTTTCCATCCACGAATGAATTTAATTAAAAAAAGAAAGAGAGGAATGAACGAATTAACAAATTGCTTTGTTCCGCAGCGCGTACAGTTTCCACGTGTCGAGCGAGGGCCAGATGCAGCCGGTTCCATTCCCTCACGACGCTCTAATTGGACAAGGAATACCGCGACATGCACGCCAGATAAATACCCTGACACACGGGGAGGTGGTGTGCGCGGTGACGATCTCGAATCCGACTAAATACGTTTACACCGGTGGCAAAGGATGCGTCAAGGTCTGGGACATCAATCAGGGCGGGAGCGGTAGCGCGAAACACGTTTCGCAGCTTGATTGCTTGCAACGAGACAACTACATCAGGTTGGTTAAACGTTACGTTTCGCGCTGCGTCGCATTAACTTTACACGCCGTCTGGCAAACGCGGGAGATCCGCCGCTGAATAAATTCCGATTAGGCAACGCCATTGCGGTCTCGTTTACTTACCAACCGTTGATACGTGTAATTTCGGGATATATCGGGTCTAGTTAAGCGCGGGTAGCTACAAGGTAGTTTGAAACGGTGTCAGTGGCCCCTTATCTCGGCTTTGAGAGCGTTGATTGCTTCAAAATTGAACGTATCGGGGGGGGACTTGAACGGGTTTACCGCCATGTTAGACATCGGTGATCGATATCATCGGGTATTGAAAACATTGCCACTATGTAACCGGTTAATATCCTTACTTTCGATATCTATTCGCCTGTTTAAAACTATCTATAACATTTGGAACCGACGTTGGTCCAACGGTTTTAACTATACGTGGAATTTTAAAGGGGTTTTCAAAATGTTTGGTGTTTACATTTGCGCGAAAGGTGATATTAAATTTCTAATCTTTGGCAGACCCCGTGATGGGTTAAGTTGGCTTCTATGTATCCATCCATATTTCGAACGCACTTAAACTATTAACACATCCTATAACCGCATCGCTTTCCATCGTGATATTTCATTCAAAGCTGGGTGATGGCATCGATCGGTCGGCTCCCATCATTTATTTTATATCCTCGGGAAACGTTAACAGCTTGCATGGAACATTCGTTATCACGTAGCAATTAACGAGTCGAATCTATCCAATATAACCTAAAAAGAAAGAAAAATAAAATAAAATAAAATAAAATAAAATGTTAACACAAACTAATATTTTAATTCTCATTACAGATCGGTGAAACTATTACCAGATGGGAGAACCTTAATCGTAGGCGGTGAAGCGAGCAACCTCAGTATCTGGGACTTGGCGAGTCCAACACCAAGGATCAAAGCGGAGTTGACTTCGAACGCGCCAGCTTGTTACGCTTTGGCCATCTCCCCCGACTCGAAAGTCTGCTTCAGCTGTTGCAGCGATGGGAACATCGCCGTCTGGGATATACAGAATCAATCTCTGCTCAGACAATTCCAAGGTCACACGGACGGCGCCTCGTGCATCGACATCTCTGCAGACGGCTCGAAATTGTGGACCGGCGGATTGGACAACACGGTCCGCTCTTGGGATCTGAGGGAAGGAAGGCAGTTACAACAGCATGACTTCACTTCTCAGATATTCTCACTGGGCTACTGCCCTACAGGCGAGTGGTTGGCAGTGGGAATGGAGAACTCAAACGTTGAGGTGTTGCACGCCACGAAACCGGACAAATATCAGCTTCATTTGCACGAATCTTGTGTACTTTCGTTACGTTTCGCTACCTGCGGCAAATGGTTCGTCTCAACTGGCAAGGACAATTTGCTAAACGCGTGGCGTACGCCATACGGTGCCTCGATATTCCAGGTGAAGTTTCTATCCATCCTGCTCTGGATAATAAATGGATTATGACGTTGTACAGTGAGGTTTCTTTTGTATAGTGGCAATGAATATTATTATTATTATTATTAAGTCAAGGAAAAAGGGAAAAGTGTGTTTAAGTATCTTATTTTATATGAAACACGTATAACTTTATCAATTTCGTTTTCGATTCATATTGTATTAGATATAATATTCAAGAAAACAATCTGATAATATTTTTTCTTAATGCGTTTGGTATCTAACAAAATAATTTCATCTTGTTACAGTCGAAGGAATCTTCGTCGGTGCTCAGCTGCGATATTTCTACAGACGACAAGTATATTGTGACTGGATCAGGTGATAAGAAAGCTACAGTGTACGAAGTGATATACTGAACAGTTACAATGATCGATGCGACATTGAGACACTGGAACATCGTCGAGTGTACTACGCTTTTACATTAGTTCGTATGAGAAACAAGAGGGTTCTGTTCCAAGAATACCCATCAAAGATTAAATTGAAACTC